TCAGAGCTCCCTGAGCAGCTCCCGAGGCAGGGAAGCCTGCTTCTCCTCCTGAGCGCCCGACGGGGGATTGAACGCTCCGTCCTCCTGTCTGCGTGGAGTGATGGCGGGGAACAGAGTGGGGGAGGAATGAGGACTCAGCACCCTGCGCCCCGCCCTGTGCTGAAGGCTCCGGGAGAGACACAGCCCAGGCCAGGGACAAGAGATCCACGCCTGAGCTCCTCACGTCGGGAACCTGAGCTTGGCAGCGAGGGTGCGCTGGGGGCAGGGAGGTTGGCTCCTGGAGCTAACTAGAGGGCCAGCCTGGTCAGCCACAGGGGCGCCAACGGGGCGCACCGAGAGTTTCCAGAGGGTTCATGACCACGCGCTGTGCCAACCAAACCTGAGTGTTTAAGTCTCCCTCTGCCCAGAGCACCGGCCCCGTCCACAAACTCCGCACCTGGCCAAGGTGCTGCTCACAGCGTGACCTCTGACACGTGCTCTTGCCTGTCCCTGAGTGTTCATCACTCGCCCTTCCCTCACCGTGCCCCACAACTTCAACTTGAGTAAGGACTGGAGAGAGGGGACTCTGGTGGGCGGTGCCCCTGCTCTGGCCAGGTAGGAGTGGGGGGGGGGTGAAGGTTCAGCCCCTGGAGCAGGTGCAGCGTGCTTCTCTCCCCAAGCACCTTTCTCAGGGCTGCTGTTGAACACAGGTGTCCCTAAAGGCAGCAAACATGGCCGCGTGGTTCCTTGGGAAGATGGAAGGTGTTCTCGCCGCCACTGGGTGCAGTCACCTGGGGCCAGTCTCTGTGAACCACCTGCCTGGGTTGATTCTTTGTAAAGGAGAAGGAAGTCCCGACTCAGGTGCCTTCAATCAGAGTGAAATGAACCTGCTGTGTCCCAGGACTTCCCGCCCGTCTTGGCACCGGTATACTACAGTCCACGCTCGCTGGGCTTCAGGCTGCTGCAGGACTGCGTCATCTTTCTGTGTCATCAGACGGATACAGGTGTCAGTGCAGAGGTATAGATGCCCTCTGCATCTTTCTCTTGCATAAAGAATAGTTTGAAACAGACACTCAAAGGCTACGTGGTAATCTTTGGATTCGCTGAAAAAAGTTAGAAATCAATGGCTTCACTGAAGATCTTCTTTGGGAACAGATTTTTATACAGCCTTGTCCAGAACTTTGTCTTTTTGGACACCCACAGATTAACAAGGAACCAAAGTTCGTATCCATCCAAAGACGACTCTATGTGAATGCTGCCGGCTCCTCCCGCAAGCCATGCAGTTGTCATTCGGCAAAGGCACGTCCACTGCAAGGCATTCGTCTCAGATCTGTAAAATGTCCTTGCGAGAGGACTCCTTAGAGATCTGCCAGCTCCCCGACTCCAGAATTGCACAGACACAGAAATGCCACGGTTTACCAGTCCAGCAAGACCACACAAGGACTCCTGTGCACTGGATCTGATCCATTACCCACCCGGGCCCTGGGACCGTGTAGATGTGCGCAGAGGAGAGCAAAGCCGAGCCTCCCAGCGGGGTCGGGAGGCGGCGTGTTCGCTTCCTACACACCAAGCACATTCCTTTCCTTTTTCACTTTCTAACAACGTGTGTGTCGGGCAGATACAGACAATGGAACTCGGCACTTCTCAGCCTCCCGTCGGCACATGCCCTCCCCGGAACGTGGCGGTGCGCACGTGTCAACGCTGCTGAGGCCAAAAGTGTTCTTCCCAGGAAAAAGCTGCGGCCAGGCCTCGCACATTTCCCCAGGAACTCGAGTCTCTTCTTGGCCTTCCTTCCTGCTGGTGCCACAGCTTGTCACCAAGATAACTTGTTTATAAGAGCGCTCGGCTCAGTTACCGAAAACAGGCCGCACGTGCTCCACCTGGGGTGCGATACAGGAGAAACTGCCAAGGGAGAAGCCGAGTTCCATCGTGGAGGGCCACTGGGATGCAAGCCTGCCCCCCCACCCCAGGAATAGTTTTGCTGTGAAGACAACAGCCTTTTTTTTTAGTGTGCTGTCATCTCACGATAGGACATCGTTCCTGGAGTGAAGGTCATACTCCTTGCCTTCCCTTACTATGTAAATACAGCTGGCACGTCTGCTCAGAGCCACCCGGTCTGTGTTTGCCCCCTTGCAATCGCCAAACAAGCCTGGCATGTGGGAACCGTGACCCTTGCTCAGGCGACTCCCCCACCCAACCCCCCTGCAGCGCTCCGTCTCCATCCTTGGCCCCGCGACTGCAGGAGCCCCCCTCCCCCCGCCGGCCCACCCCGTGTAGGGTGGACACTTTCGCTCTCCGTTCCCACAGTCCACTGCACTTCCCCCTTTCAGGCCATTCATCACCCTGCACTTGGATGTCCGCTTCCTTCTCCAGCTGCCTCCCGGGACTGCGGCTCCTGGGAAGAGGCAGGGACCCTGTCCTTCTTATCACCACACACACACACACACACACACACACACACGACAGCATCAGCACGCTGTGGCCATGCCGACTGGATCTTTGTAGGAGGAGTGAGTGAACGCGCTCTTGGAAGTGTCTAAGCATTCCCAGAGCACCCACGGCCCATGCCAGGAGGCAGCCCCGCACAGACAGCAGAACTGGCTTCTTCCAGTCCTTTCCTGCCGGCAGCGCCGCTCCGCAGGTCTCAGCACGGCAGGATGCTGTGTGTTATCCACATCTCAATGTAAAGGTCACCCCCTTGGAGCAGCCTCCGCTGGCCATTCAGCCTAAATGATCTGAGTGCCTGATGCCACTCCACCTGCTACCCTTCCCGGCGCCTGGCTGCTGGTACTACCCGGTCTTGTGACCACCAGCTGTTTCTGATTTGTCATCCCACTGCTATTCGAAGCTCAATGAGGACGACAACCTTTTCCGCCTTTACAGCCTCAGACTGAAACTTCGCCGAGACACAGATGTTAAGTGAATGGAGAATCCGATGATCTAAGTGATTCAACACCCAAGTCAAAAGTTATCATGAAAATATTTCAGTGTTTCAGAATCAGCTGGGAGAGCCCCTGGTTGACATGACCTTGGCGGACAGTCTCAGCGTGCATTTGGGGCTCTCGGTATCCTGCAGTCACCCTGGAGTCTGCCAGGACCAAGACACTCTGGAAAGAGGGACCGACCTCCAAGTGAAGGGTGGTGCCTGACAGGTGTCGGCTGAGGAGCTGGGCTGGTGGCGGGGGGAAGCACTCCTTGGGCAATGACTGTCCTGCCTGTACCTAAGCCCATAAGGACCCAGTGTGTGCCCAAGGATCAGTATCAAGAATGGACAAGGTTCTTGGCAAGAAGAAGATAAATTTAGAGGTGGTGGAATTTGAATTTTACCAGAAATACCATGAATCAACCACAGGTTAAAATTTTTGCACCTCTGGCTGTTTCCTGAATCTTGTAAGGCATAAGCCCAATGCCTAGATGAATCTGCATCCCGCTAGGGAGACAGTGGCGACCCCAGGGACATCTGCAGGTTCTAAGCCCAGAGCAGCACCTAACAGATTCTACGCATGAAACCCCTGCTCCCAGGGCCATCTTTGACCAACAGAACACATTGCTTTTAGGGCTGAAGGCGCAATGTACCTCTATCCTTCCAAGAGCATCCAATACCCCTGAGAGCACAAGGCACAGCGAGTCACCATCACATGGAGCTTCTAACGGTCCAGTTAGATGAGGGATGCTACACCAGTGCCCCAGGTTTGAATCCAAGCTCCTCCTCCACTTACTGTGTAATCTTGGGCACTTTCCTTAACCTCTAAAAGCCACCATTTTCCCATCTGTTACAGAAAAAGGGAATAATACCACCTCAGAGGTACTGGCAGGAGTAAGGTCAATTTACTCCATTTGTTAAAACCCTCAGCACAGAGAAAAGATTCCTTGGTTATTGGCTATCGCAATTACTGTCGTCACACACAGACTAGGGAATCGTGGCTCAAAAGTTTCAGTTATGTGAATCTGTTTACAAAACAGCTACCAAAGCTCAAATTGCTACATGAGAGCTCTTTGCCACGCCTGTTTTAAGAAATTGCTTTGAAATTTTCCATGTATAAGCTAATATGGCATGCTATTAACAACATGTTATTGCTTCTCTAAAAGGAATTATATTGTATATCCGCAGGATGAGACTCCCCACTCCTGGGCTATAATTAGTTCGTGCTCATTGAATAGCAGTTGCACAACTTCCTAGTAATTTGCTGGTATCCTAAATTATAAGGCTGCTTTTTGGAAACGTTTTAGCCTGCATTACTCTTTCCTCTCAGCCTCTTTTAAGTCTGGATCTCCCAAAGCAGAGTGAGAATTCAGTTTCTGTATATCAGAGAGTAGATTCTGAAAGCACCCAGCTCACTCTTCTAAATGTCACCAACAAGGGAGACAGAAAGGTCATGTGTCAACTGAGAACTAAGGCCAACGAGCCCACACGGAACTTACTCTCCCAAGGCTGTGTTTCCATACCTTCTCAGAAACACAGTTGCAAGAACCATCATTAGTTTGTGATGATATTCCATGATGTTCAATTGATTATCAACAGATTGATTAGGCACAATGTGCACAGTTGAGCAAGAAAATTTAAATCAATGGCAAACGCTATCTGATGGGCTTTAAAGGGGTCAGCACCGCTTTTTAATAAGAAGAAAGGAATGCTAGGTTTGGTGTTATTTTCAATGCTACTGAAAGAAAACAGACCTTTAAAATCATAGAGACATTAGGAAATGAAAAGCAGAACAGTTATTTTTTTAAAAGAAAATAGTATCTTATATACAAGTGAAATACATTTGCATTCGCTTAGGACATTTATAGTCAATCGACACTACATAAATTATAGGGACTGCAAATTGAGCAGCAACTGGTTAACAATAGGTAATCTACTCTGTTCTGTAATACGGTATCAGAAACATAACCAAAGGCGTAGCCTCAAAAGGGCATCTGGTGCCAAGCACACTGGTTGTCATATCCAGTCTGCACCCTGAGAACGTATCTGATGCATTTTCATGATATTCAGAAAACAGATGGACAACGGAATACATTACCACATCAGCTGGAGGTGAGTGCCCCTCACTCCGGAGGGTCAGCCGCCTGCTCAGGAGAAAGCCACCGAGGTGGTGAACGGGCTCCTTGCTCTCATTTGTTCTGCCATCGACTCCACTGTACAAGTTTTATTTCCATTTTCTTATCCGATTACATCTTGCTCAGTTCCTCATTACAATTTATAGCAAACTTTGCAGAGCTTTGAGCTGTGTCGTCTTATTAAACATTTATGAAAAATCAATGGTGCTCCACGCACCGCGGTCAGGGTGAGTAGGGAAGTCCACTCGTCCCCAAATCCGGCGACAGAGACTTGACCTGAAAGAAATTTTCATTTTACGAACCAGGGTCCGAGACATAGGGCATTCTTTCCTTTTTCTAAACTACGGCATTTCAAGAATTGCAACCTTGTGAAAATGAGCCTGAGAGGAAAACAAAAGAAGACATTGTTCACCGTTTCTCTCTCTTTGGCTCCTCCCCCAAACAGGACATCATTCTCTGGACCCTGGAGAACCAGGAATCCAATGAGCCAAAAGCAGCCAGGGCGCTCGCTCAAGAAACAGAGACAGACCTGTGCCCACGAGAGAGACACTGACTTGGAGATCAAGGGACAGGCCACACGCGGGAGCTCAGGCGCAGGTGCCCAACTCCTCCCCCACCGCCCCCCTGTAGGGCTTTCTGATGGTTTGTGACTTTTAACAAGATCGCTCCTCATCACTTTGCCGATCAGCAATGCACTCCCGCCCTTCCTCTGCCTGTTCTCTAAAAGGCACCAGATCAGGAACCAGACGTGTTTTAGTTAAAAAGCCAAACCAGGGGCCGGCTCTGTGGCGTAGTAGGTTAAGCCTCTGCCACTGCTGCCCGCAGCCCATATGGGCAGCTGTTGGAGACCTTGCTGCTCCACTTCCGACCCAGCTCCGTGCTGGCCTGGGAAAGCAGCGGAGGATGACCCAAGTGCATCTGGGTGGGAGACCCGGAGGAAGCTCCTGGCTCTTGGCTTCAGATCAGCCCAGTTCTGAACATTGAGGCCATCTGGGGACTGAACCAGCAGATGGAAGACCTCTCTCTCTGTCTCTCACTTTCTCTCTGTAATTCTGTTTCTGAAAACAAAAAATATTAAAATCTTTTAAAGCCAAACGAAAAAGCCAGAGGCAGTGTTTGGAATAGTGACTAAGATGCCACGCGGGAGTCCCAAGAAGTGCTTGGGTTCAAGTCTGGGCTCTGCTTCCGATTCCAGCTTCCGGCCAACACGCACTCTGGGAGGCGGCAGGGGATGGCTCCAGTCCCTGCCACCCACGTGGGAGATGCAGACAGTTCCTGGCTCCTGGCTTTGGCCTGACACAGCCTCTGCTGCTGTGGGCATTTGGGGAGTGAATCAATAGATGGAAGATCTGCCCGCCTCTCCCTCCCTCCCTCCCTCCCTCTCTCTGTGTGTGTCTCTCCATTTCAAATAATAAATAAATATTTAAATTTTCAAGCTCAAGAACTAGGTAAGGAACTGGGAGCAAAGGGCCAGACCGTGCACCCAGCCACCTGCTGGACCCCTCTGCGTAAGTGCCCTCTGGGATCCTCAAACTCATCTTGTCCAAACACCATCCCTTCCCCAGCCTCTTGCTCTGTGCCCTCTCAGTGCCAGGCACCTGCATTACGTGAGAGGAGCCCAGAACCCTCTGAGGTTCCGAGTGTGGCTCCGCTCGGCACCCTCCCTCCTCTCCCCACCCGGATGCCCAGCTCCAAACACTGCAGCTTCCCCACTGTTCTCTCTGCCTCCCCTCCTGGCCATTTAAATGCATGATGAACTCTGACACCACCATGATCAGCCTAAGAAAAGGACTCTGACTCCACACTCCTCTCCACCGAGGTCCTTCTGGGCTCCACGGGGACCAGCCACTTCAGAGAAGGGCCCAGTCCCCCGAGCTGGGGAGCTCAGCTTGCCCCCGGGCCCTGGCCACTTCCCACGTGCTCTGCCTGTGCCAGACCACACGTGAGATTGCCTCTCCACTGACAATGCTTGGTGAGCATACGGGCCACAGGCTCCTTACAAAAATGCCTCCCTCTTGAATGCTGGGCTCTGAGGACTTGAACTTGGATTCTGCTCAGCTCGAAAATGTGATAGCGATCAACCAGAAGCTCTGGAACCCACACACATTATTCTGTTGCCTCCCCTCTGACTTCTAAGGGCTCTAGTGAGCCTCCTGAGAGAGGGCCAGGACGCCCGCACGGTCCACCAGCAGCAACTCGGCGGCTCGGATGCTCCGCAGCTGGCTGAGGCAAAGGCTCCCAAGAGGTCAAAGGGTTAAGACACAACAGATCCTACACAACAGGCCAGTTTCTGGGGCCGATGCTGTGGCGCAGTGGGTTAAAGCCCAGGCCTGCAGTGCCCGCATCCCACATGGGCGGACAGTTCAAGTCCAACTGCTCCACTTGTGATCCCGTTTCCTGCTAATGCCCTGGGAAAGCAACGGAGGATGGCCCAAGTGCTTGGGCCCCTGCACTCATGGGAGAGACCTGGAAGACACTCTTGGATCCTGGCTTCGGATTGGCTCAGCTCCAGCCATTGAGGCCATTTGGGGAGTGGATCGAAGATATCTCCCTCTCTCTCTCTCTCTCTCTCTAACGCTTTCAAATAAATAAACACTTAAAAAAAAAAAAAAAGAGGCCAGCTTCTATTCACAAAAATGCAAAGAATACAAACTGACAGTGGACAGACCTGGCTCCAGGTCCCTGCTCTGTCACTTAGTAAATGAGGGGACTTGGCTACAAAACTGAATCTCAGTGAACTTATAAGCGGTGGTGCTCCTAGGAGAACATCAGCACCACTGGGAAGACCGACGACCTCCAACAGCACCCGGCACAGTCAAAGCTCAACAAGTGCAGGCTATTGCTAATACCAACACACAATCCAACAGGACTGGCTGCCATTATCATTATTCTCTGTATTAAACCCTTTTCCCGCCCTCTGCCTACGGCGCTGGCACACCGGGTTCTAGTCCCGGTCGGGGCGCCAGATTCTGTCCCGGTCACTCCTCTTCCAGTGCAGCTCTCTGCTGTGGCCTGGGAGTGCAGTGGAGGATGGCCCAGGTGCTTGGGCCCTGCACCCCATGGGAGACCAGGAGGAAGCACCTGGTTCCTGGCTTTGGATCAGCGCGGTGCGCCGGCCGCGGCAGCCATTGAAGGGTGAACCAACGGAAAAGGAAGACCTTTCTCTCTGTCTCTCTCTCTCACTGTCCACTCTACCTGTCAAAACAAAATTAAAAAAAAAAAAAAAACCCTTTTCCCACTCTGAAGCCTATTTTCTACATGAATTTTAGAAGACAAGTCTACTCAACTTAATCAGTCAAAAATTAAGATGCATTTTCAAAACCACCCAAGGATCTCCGGCCGTTTCCCAGGATTCGGGCTTCGCTTTCTTTTCTTCCCACTTCCTTTGCGGATTCTCATCCACTTCTTACTGCCTGCCCGCCACGGCCACGTTCCTTCTCCTGAGCGAATGCCATTCCCATTGCACTCTCCCTCCAGAACTCACTTCCGGAGCAAAATCCCACTGCAAACTCGAGGTGGGCCCAACCTAGGGCACCCTATCCGCTTCACCACCGACCGGTCCCAGCACCTGGTGATCACGCAGCTGGGGATGGAGCCGAGGGGTGATGCCGCCCGTCATGGCCAGTGTTTGAGGAGAGGCTTCCGTGCCTTGTTCTCTCTAGCGGGTTCACAGCAGGGTCGCTCGTTTTGTGGGCACTGAGGAATGTGCCCCTGGCTGAGGCTGCCAGTCATCAGCCAGAAGCCAGATGAGAAAGTAGCACAGGGGCAGGCAGAGCCTAGACGGAGGACCTCAGAAAAACAAGCCTCGCCCCGCCCGCCTCTGGGCCTTTCCGTCTTCCCAAGCTGATAAATCGCTCGTTCTCCGAGTCGGGCTGAGCTGTGTCTCCGCAGTCACCAGCAGCTCCGAGTGTTCCGACTGACGCATATGGCTTCAGTCACCTCCCATAGGCTGATGAGCTCCACTGATCTCCCCAGCAAGGGTCTCCTCCCCGCACCCCAGACCCAGACACTGCATACCAACTGCCACTCTGCCAGTATGTCAGTTCCTCTCCTCTCAAAACCTTGCTCCCACTCCTCTATTTTTTTTTTTTTTGGACAGGCAGAGTGGACAGTGAGAGAGAGAGACAGAGAGAAAGGTCTTCCTTTGCCGTTGGTTCACCCTCCAATGGCCTCCGCGGCCGGCGCACTGCGGCTGGCACACCGCACTGATCCGATGGCAGGAGCCAGGTGCTTCTCCTGGTCTCCCATGGGGTGCAGGGCCCAAGCACTTGGGCCATCCTCCACTGCACTCCCTGGCCACAGCAGAGAGCTGGCCTGGAAGAGGGGCAACCGGGGCAGAATCCGGCGCCCCGACTGGAACTAGAACCCGGTGTGCCGGCATCGCAAGGTGGAGGATTAGCCTAGTGAGCCTCGGTGCCGGTCTTCCCACTCCTCTATTTTCAGCTGATTACCACCACCCGCCCACCCGCCTGCCCCCTGGCCAGAATCCACAGAGCCATCGCTGACCCCTTCCTTGCTTTCAGGAATCATCTCCCTGCCGACCCCCAGGTCCAGTGCGTCACCAGGCTCAGTTGCTTGTCCCTTCCACGTCCCCGTGATGAGACGCCCTCCACCCCCCCGCATTGCCTTAATTCTGCCCAGATTAATACAAAATCCCTGCCCGGGTTCTCACCATCCAATCTGAGCGCTGGCCAACTGTGTGTGCCAAACCCTTTGTGAATTAACTTATTGAATCTCCACAACACTTTGAGTCACAGTTATCCCCAGTGTCTAAACAGGAAACAGACATTGAAGGTGAGGATAGACTTAGACCCTCCCCCCCCGCCCCGCCCAGTGTAGTCCTGACCCACCAAACAGCCCCTCTTACATCACATCACTGGGTCACCTAGAACCCTTCAGGGGCTCCCATTTCGCTTAATGAGGCTTCACAATCCAAGCCCTGCCTTGCTGGCTGAACTCCTTTCTCCCCTCCTGTGCCCCTCCCTTTTTTAAGATTTTATTTATTTGAAACGCAGAGTTCTAGAGAGGGAGGGAGAGACAGACATATAGAGTGAGCTTCCATCCATAGGTTCATGCCCCAAATAGCCACAATGGCCAGGGCTGGGCCACACCAAAGCCGGGAGTCAGAAACCTCTTCTGGGTCTCCCACGTGGGTGCAGGGGCCCAAGCACTTGGACCATCTTCTGCTGCTTTCCCATGCCACAGCAAAGAGCTGGATCAGAAGTGGAGCAGCCGGGACTTGAACCAGCATCCGTATGGGATGTCAGCATCACAGG